AGATTAGAAGACAGACTAAACAAGACTGAATAACTTTCCCAAGTCATTCTTTGGTTAATAGCAAAGAGCAATGGTATGCATTACTGTTCACAGAATGGGGCACAGAGCTTCTGGTTTTGCCCAAGGCTTCCGTAATATCCAGAACAGTTCTACACTACAATAAGCCTCTGAATTACCTAGGTGGTGTAGAATCAAGGAATTAGAAATTATTTAGGGATCACATATTTGTCCAGTACATTTTCCATCTGAAATATATTCAAAAATATAATTAGCACTGATCCTTCTGCTCAACCTGACTTTTTCACTGTAATGACAAATCTCTGGCAAAAGGCCAGATTCCTGTTACAGCTAGTAGACTTTCTTGTTCTGTCCACTGTTTGCATAAAGAAGGAAACAATTAGTGTTAAGATTCCACCTGCTACTGTTGCTTTTCTGCGTGTGTGTGCTAAGTGGGCTGAGACTATCCCCAATATTTACAGAGCGAGGAACAAGAGTAGATAGGAAGATCCACATGTCATATATTTAAGTATTTTATAGTTATAAATTAAGCTAACAAATAACCCCACATAATGACTAGAAGATCAGGTTTGTGTTTAGAATTCTGGGACAATTCAGAGTTCCGCACTGGAAACTAGAAGCATGAAGAGCTTCAGTCTCCTGGAACAAGATGCATCCCTCTTTTCTTCCCCTTCCCTCCTATGTCCTAATGTTCAAAAGATCCCTGTCCTGTAAAACTCATACTCAAGGTTTCTTCCCCATGACTGTTTTTTTGCCCTTCCTTAAGAGTGGTAGAGCTATGTTGTTCATATCCATGTCTTTTCCTCATAAAATAAGGAAAAAGCAAGTATCAAACTATGTATATTGTATTACATTTGAGTTTTCTGATAACCAAGGCAAGAAAGAAAACACAGTTACATCAGAAAATGATACTAGTGCCCCCAGGACAATAGTATCACAGGACAGGACAACTCACAGTCTCCACTTCCATCAACACCCTGAAAATAGCTTCCCTTTCTCCAACCCTTTGATAGCAAGGACCCTTTGGAGTTCTTAGGGGAGAGACCCATATAGCCCAAGAAATAGGCTCAAGATGATTTGAGCAGTGAAATCTGGCATCTGTGATACTAGAGCATACTCTAGAAGGAGGAGCATGTCTCCATATAGATATGTCTCCATGGCCCTGCAGAGTCCTTGCCTAGTATAAGTCTTTCAAAACATAAAAATCTTGGCAATTGTCCCTCACTCCTTTGTTAAGGTCTGTACTGGTTGAGGCAAGGAAAAGGAACCTCAGAGATAGGTATTAGAGTGTTCAACAAATATTAAATGACTATTGTATGCCAGATGGAAGGGATATAAAGAAGGAAAGAGACTGTTCTTTCCTTGAAAACATTCATCACCTAATAGAAGAAATAAGCTAATCACTACGCATAATATAATTGCATAATGGAATGTAGGTGTGTGTCCAAGTAAAAAAGTTCACTGCAAAACTGGTATTCTCAGCAACACCTCTCTGGAGAGCAAAAAGAATTTCTCTCCAACCTAAAGCAGAAGGTAACTGCTCCTGAAAAGTTAACAGTTCATCCTTTATCCCACAGTGGTGCCAATATGGGGTACAGGCCAATACTTTATGCAGTGCTATAAATTGGCACTCCTGCTCATAAGAAGAAATGCTAGCAGCAAGGAAATATTTGAGAGATCTTGTGACTAGTCAATACCAAGCTAGATTTTCACTTGAAATATCTGTGAGGCATGCCTTTTCTATATTCCCATAGCATCTATTCTATACCTCTTCTACAGCACACATCATATTATATAAATGCTTAAATCACTATTTGCATGACATGAGAAACATTTAGAGGGAAAGACTTCATTTATCTTTGCATCCATAGGATATAGCAGACAGCTTCACCGCAGAGGGTGTTCTTTCAACATGTGTTGAGTGAATTCCTGCTATAGACTGAATATGTGTTCCCCCCCACCACCCCACACATTCATATGTGGAGATCCTAACCCTCCATGCGGTGCCTTTGGGAAGTGAGTAGGTTATGAAGGTGGAGCCTTCATAAATGGGATTAGTGATCTTGCAACAGGGACCTCAGAGAGCTCCCTCTTCCCTTCCACCACGTGAAGACATAGCAAGAAGTCATCTATGAATCAGGAAGTGGACCCTCACCAGATACCAAATCTGCAGGTGCCTCGATCTTGGACTTCTCAGCCTCCAGAATTATGATAAATAAATGTTTGTTGTTTAATACCACCTAGTCTATGGTATTTTGTCATAGCAGCCCAAATGGACTAACACAATTACAGTTATGTTTACACAAAATAAATTACATTTAGAATGTATTACTATAAAAAAAATATTGTCCTGGGGGCACTAGTATCATTTTCTGATGTAGCTGTGTTTTCTTTCTTGCCTTGGTTATCAGAAAACTCAAATGTAATACAATATACATAGTTTGATACTTGCTTTTTCCTTATTTTATGAGGAAAAGACATGGATATGAACAACATAGCTCTACCACTCTTAAGGAAGGGCAAAAAAACAGTCATGGGGAAGAAACCTTGAGTATGAGTTTTACTGTCATGACTCTGAAGTTGTTATCACTGGCCCAGAGTGGTCCAGAGTGGCTTTGGAGTAAGTTGGGCCCTGAGGAAAAGAAGTATAATCAGATATTTAACCAGTCTAGTGGAGTGAAGAGAATAGGCTAGAGTCACAGGCACAGATGGTCCCATCCTGCCTTTGTCACTTACAAATTATATGACTACTCAGTGCCTAAGTTTCTCATTAATGGGGGCAATAATAACTCCTCTGTTTATTTTTTGTGGGTTGCGGTACTAATGTTTCAATGAGTTATTTCATGTAGTATAGTGCCTGCTATGTAGTAACAACTATTAGTTTTATTGTGCATAAGGAAAGGTAGTTGTGGTAGGCAGAAAAGTGATGCCCCAAGAAGCCCACACCCTGATCCCTGGAATCTATGAATACGTTAGAGTATATGGCAAAGGGGAATTAAGGTTGCTACTCACCTCACCCTAAAATAGTGAGACTATCTGAGGTTATCCATGGAGATTAATTAATTAATTTGTCACTTTTGCTAGGCCACATTGCCCCAATATTTAGTCATACATTATTCTAGATGTTTCTGTAAGGATATTTTTAGTTGGGATTTACACTTAAATTGGTGGACTTTAAGTAAAGCAAATTGCTCTCCATAATATGGATGGGCCTCATCTTAAATAGCATAAAAGGCTGACCTTCTCAAGTGAAAAGGAATTTTCCATCAGATTGCCTTCAGACTCCAGTGAGTCTCCAGCTTGCTGGCCTCCTCCATCAGATTTGAGATTTGTCAAGCCTCAAGTCAAATCTTTAAAATAAATCTATATATAAAATATATATTCATACAAAATATGAATATATTAAAAATTATATATATATCCTTTATTTATTGTTTCTTTGGAGAATCCTAACACAGATTTTGGTACTAAGAGTGACTCTATAGGAACAGAATCTAAAGATGAGTCTTCTGAATTGGTTCTGGGATTTCTGGAATTTGCTGTCTAATCTGATTAGATTTAAAGACTCTAATGACTCTATTTTTAGTAGTAAAGAGAGCACTGATCATTCATGGTGTGATATGGCACTAGAAATACACAAAATATCACCATTGTATACTCACAAACACTTGAGAGGCAAGGATCTTGAATTCCTAGCTCACACATCACATAAATTATCTGAAAGCTGCCCTGAAAAAAGATTCTTATCTTTCATAGGCACAGGACTTACTACTCCACAAGCTGCAATCACATCTATAAAATGTTTTTTTGTTTTTTTTTTTTAAAGATTTTATTTATTTATTTGAGAGAGAGAGAATGAGAGATAGAGAGCACGAGAGGGAAGAGGGTCAGAGGGAGAAACAGACTCCCTGCTGAGCAGGGAGCCCGATGCGGGACTCGATCCCAGGACTCCAGGATCATGACCTGAGCCGAAGGCAGTCGCTTAACCAACTGAGCCACCCAGGCGCCCTATAAAATGTTTTAAAAATAAAATATTTCTAAACTCACTCTGATGAACCCCTCCATAAATATTGAATAAGAGGTGACTAATAACCACAAGATGTGTGTAAATATGAAGACAAGGTGTCACAAAGTCTTAGTGAAATTCTGAGCTTTAATAAACTCAGAAGTATAAATGCTACAAACTTACAAAAACAGCATTTGAAAGGTCAGTCACAAATATTGCTGTCATACTGGTCTTTGAGTTTGAAGAATAAATTCTCAATTTTAAGTTCTTGTTTCAGTCATTCTGCAGATGCATTTTTTTAAATTAATTAAAAATTTATTATTCTAAACAAATGCAAAAGAAAATGGAAATAAGATTTCAAATGATGTCTTTCAATTATAAGCATTTATACTTCTAGAGTTACTTAAAGCCTTAAAATCTCCCATACTTTTGAGACATCATATTGTTAACTCACTTTTTTTTTCCTTTTACAAATCCTTTTCTTTAATATATTCATATAATTTTTCTGTTCTTGGTAAGAAAATGTTTATTTTTCAGCTTTGAATCTCACACATCTCAGCAGGTAGATTTTGTAGTTGCCAATTAAAAGACATTGTTCAGCACTCCCCTGCATAATAAACCAATATTTTTTTTCTTTTTACAACACATCAAAGTGTATTTCTATTGGAATTCCTCTAACATACTCATCACCAAACTGTAACCCTGAGACTTCATTGAATTTGTTTGCACTTTATCTGTTATTATCACTGAGGGCCCAGCTTAAAATCTAGGTAAAGAAAGAAAATGTGAGGTTTCTTCTGTAAAGAATGTTGCAAAACGGAGATCAAAGACACAATTTCATTTCTCTGTCTGTGCAATCTAACTTAGCTTACAATTAAAGAATGATTTTAATTGTCAAACTTTTAAATTTTATTAAATGTTTGTGGCAATGCATTGAATGAATTCCAGACCTATATAAATACATAGGCAGCTGTTTGTAATTTGCATTTTTTTCAGTTTTGAAAGAGCACAATGTACTTCCTGCATCTTATTTTCAGAATTTGCATTTTATCATCTTTGGCTACCCAGTATATAGTATGGAGTACTTGAAATATCTCATTCTTTGAATTTTCATTTTTGATTGTAAATCAGATGATATCTGGCACTTTTCTCTTTTCTCATTTTTCCTCTTCTCTCAACCTCCAGATTTACTTGCTCCCATTTCTTCTTGGCTCTAATAATAAAACACACAAAATACTTCAATTATTTTCTTTTTTGGCATTCTTCAAGATACCAACGTTCTGCATTTCTTGGGCTAATTACTTACCATACATCTAAAGGCAAAACAAAACCTAAGCTCATTGTTTAATTCATATATTTTCCAAAATGCTATTCAAACTAATTCCATTTCTTTCCAAAGCTTACTGTGTTTTGAATTTGGATGGAGGGTTGAAAAGAGATAGAAATAATACTACATATAAGGCTGTACCTGCACCCAGAATGAACAGAATGAATGTTCCATCCTACAGAGACAGGCACCTCCAGTCACACCAGCTGTATCCTTATCAGAAAGGACATGTGGCCCCAAGGGAAGGCTGACATCTCTAATCGCCTTCAGATCCTTTCGTTGGTTCCCACACATTTTCCTCTCCTGCTGCATTATCCTCATAGCATCGGACAACATTTTCCCAAAAGGCTCCTCTCGCCCATTTACATGACTACGGCCTTGGCTCTGAGATATTCCTTAGCGGAATAGACTAGCGGCAGCTTGTGCTTTCTGCTTCCTCTCTCCAGCAGTCCATCTGTCCCCTGGGAAATGCTGAAATCGCTCCTCTGTGCCCTAGCACGAAATGCAGGGGGGAGGAAACACAAGCTAATCTTTCTCTAGTCTGATGATGACAGCAACAGTTGTAAAGGATAGGAATTTAGGGGTTACAAATTTCCCAGTCAAAAGCTCAGGTAAGTAAGAAAACAATTTTTATAATTCTATTTAATTTCTTGACTCTAAGTCCCCATTCTGCCTGATATAGAAAACTTATCTGGTCCTTTGTACATAGACTTAGTCCAATTCAGTGATTTCTTAGTTATTTCACATTTGTATTTCAACCACATTCAGATTTGAAATTCTTTCTCAGGACTTTTTTTTCCCCTCCCTCTCTCATCTCCCTGAGGCTTATCCTAATTTCTAGGGTTGGTACAGGGGAGAATGATCGCCACTTTGTGACAGCTAGGAAGAGAATATTATCTCAACAATCATGGGTCTCCACATGGCCTGGGTCCGGTGCTGGTGAATGGTGGCCCAGACAACATAGCATAAGGTTTCTCAAACTTTAGTGTGCATCTTAATCACCTGGGGGACTTGTTAATATGCAGATTTTAATTCAGTAGGTCTGCTATGGAGATTCCACATTTCCAACAAACTCTCAGGTGATGTCGTTACTGGTTGCCCTCAGACAGTACTTCAAGTCACAAGTAACAAGTGGATGATTTGGGTTATAATCGGCTCCCTGGCAGAGCAATCTTTTGAGATTCTATTTGAGTCCTCCCCTCCAATAGGACCGGACCACAAAGGCCATCTTTCTGATGCTATGGTTGTAGCCCCAGCCAGGAGACTTTGTGTAGACCCGCTGGCCCTTTCCTAGGAACTCACTCTCACTTGAAACTCACAAGAATATGTGATGCCCTCCCAAGCAAATGTGGGGCTTGGGAATCCCAAGAGACTCTCTCCAGCCCTCTCTCATGTTAGACATGGCTTCCTCCCCCCACTCCCACCAATACGTGGCACTGCCAAATTCTCCAAAGCTTTTCTCCCTTGGCTGTATCTGGGAAGTGCAATGCAGATCCTCCTTATGCTCAGAGTTTTATAAACCTCAAAGGGAAATCCATCACTGACTTTCTACCCCTGAGCCCTGGCATAGCTGGAGGTGATAAGAGAAGAGCAGAAGGGGACTGGAATGGAGTAAGTGGCCCCACACTGTCTCTGGTCTCTTGCTGCCTCCACATGCCCTCCTCCTTGCTCTATAGATTGAACAAAAAAAGTGCTTTTCTAAGCTCACATCCCCTGTCACATTCCCTTTCCTGTGCCATACATGGATGGTACATGTTTCATGCTCTGAAGTGACCCCTTCTTCCCCCAAATCCTTCTGTAATTCATGTTTGACTACCTGGGATGAGAAAGGAGGAGGCTGCTGGGATACAAGGGCAGTCACCAGGAGAGGGGCAGGGATGAGGAGTGCATCTTTAAATATTCCAGATAATATCACACCCACAAGGAAAGCACAGGAGCAAAAGGTGCAGCTCAACAATTGTAGTTTTAGCCAGGATTTCTACCAACTTTTCATCTCCTTCCCCCCAAAATTAAGTGCAATCACATGTGAAAATGCAGAGTAAGCTCAGAGAAAATACAGTCAAGGAAATAGCATAGCAGCAGAGTTCTCTTAGAGTACCATATGATTTGGAAAGAAATGGGAAAAAAAAGAAAAGCAACTGACTTCATAGTTAAAGTCAAGAGTTTTGAGAAATACTACTTAACATCTTAGTTTTTGTTTTTTGAAAGTGGACAGTTTCTAATCTGGATGTCTTTGGGTTCATTCTGGGAAGCTCTTATATAAAAGTTTATAGATTTCAGATGATTCTGAAAGTTCTAGGCTAAAGATGTAAGTAGGAACTCCCTATTTAGAACTTTTTCTGAAAGATTCTTTTTTCTGGAGTAACTGAAACCATTTTATCCTGTGTGGTTTTCCAAACCTACTGTGCCAGCCCCAGGATAAGCTTGGAGAAGACATCAAGCTTTTTAGCAAAAGAACCACCTGAGATCAGGTCTGCTTCAAACCTCTACCCTGGGGAGGTTCCCTGGATTCCCATACTCTCCCAGAGAACAGAGCACAACAAGGGGGACACCATAGTCACTCAGGTATATCAAAAGACTTCTGATGACATAAAAATAGGCAAAGGAGAACACAATAAAACAAAGTAAGATTAAATTGCTAGTAGACAATATATCTACTGAATTCCAAGTAATTGTGTTCATAAAGCATGAAAATTTCCTAAATTTTTCTAAAATATGTTTCCTGACCTTGAAACTTAAAAACTTGTCATTTGTTTTTAGAATGATACATTAAAATTACTAGTAAATATTTACCTGTATATATCTTTTCAGTTTTTGGATATGTTTTTGAAAAGGGAATTCTTTTTCGCCAGGCTGAACCATTATATGATGTTGACATATATTTATCTGAGAAAAAAGAAGACAGGAATTAAATATTTTATAACTTCAAAATCATATTCCAAGAGTGTCTCAAAGTTATAAATATCTCAGAGATGAAGCTGTTCTCTAAGTAATTTATTTTAGCATTTCAAAACTAAGGCATCAGGGACCCAAGTGAGTTTATTAAGACCATTTTTGATGGGGTGCCTGGGTGGCTCCGTTGGTTAAGCATCTGCCTTGAGCTCAGGTCATGACCTCAGGTTCCTGGGATGGAGCCCTGTGTCAAGCTCCCTGCTCAGTGGGGAGTCTGCTTGTCTCTCTCTACCTCTGTCCCTCCACCCCTGCTCGTGCTCTCTCTCTCAAATAAATAAATAAAATCTTAAAAAAAAAAGACCATTTATGTTATCAGTGAACATGGATGGTTATGCACCTCTTAACTGGCTGTCAAGTTCTTCAAATAAGGCTCTCTCCCATAAGGCTAAGCTACGGGAGAGTGTGATATCTGGATGTGATCAAAATACTTCATTGCCTTGCTATACAACACAATTCTGCTAATGCTTGTAGAAGAAATAAAGAAAAAGAAGAAAAGACCTAGAAGGCACCGCCAATTCCCTTTACTTTCCATGAAGTGACTCCCATGATGGCAGGGAATACTCGACCATAGTGGACGTGCTGTCCCAGGAAACCAAAGCCTTGATATACTGACTTGGTTCTTTAATATCTACTTTCCTCTGACAACTTTATATTTGAACTATTATCTAACAATGTTGTATTTGTGTTTTTAAGTACTACTATGCAGGTATGGTTCTCAAAGCGTGGCTCATAATAATACTAAGAATTTATTTGCTTTTTTTCCTTGTTAACATTTGCTCTAATGGCGTGAAAGCAATAGTGAGCATAACTGTGACCACCTTAACACAAATCCAGACAACCATTCACTCCCAGTAAAATAATAATAAAATGATAATAATAATAAGACTGTATCATCCAAGAATATCCTTATTTTTATATATAAATCCATATATCATTTTATTCTAAAACAAATAGAAGAAATACAATTTAAAGAAAGCTAACTTCTATTTAAATTATAAAAGAAAGGACCTAAGAGAGGCATTGAATTTTTACTTATGTTTCAGAAAGTACAGAACATTCAGAACCCGACAAACTAGACTGGGAACACAAGAAAATACACGCACGAAATTAGAGGGAATTAAGTTGCCTCGTGTTAAGTTGAGAGAACTGAAACCCAATTTCCAAAGAACAAAATTCATCCAAGACAGGAAGAAAAGATGTAGTTCCCTCCTCCCTGGTGGCCTTGTACTTAATGACATATACTATGACTTTGCCTATTACATGATGAAATGATTTAGGAGCAATCTGCGCATGGTGGGAGAGATGAGAGGTTGTCCAAAATATTGCAGTTAATCCCCAAACTGACCCTTTCAGAAAGTAATCATGAAGGCTTAAAGAAAAGCCAAGGCACTAGCCTGAAAGTGATGATTGAACAATGCAGTTACTGGAACAAGAAAATGTCAACCATTTGAAAACAATCCTCAAGAGTGAAATAAAGCTATCCAGGGGGGAACAAAGTACAGTGCTATGAGACAAAACTCTAGTGAGGTTCAATGTCTAGTCGTCTGCACCCAACACGTTTTCGAACATATTCTTTAAACCATGTGCATTCCTGCTCATGGGAGAAATCCTTTCACCAGTCTTCTGAGACGTCCTGGTGTGGCGAGGCCTGGAAACAGAATGGGGGGGGTGGCGGTGAAGATTAGTTGGACCATCACGTAATTCCATGGGGATGCAAACCGTGGACATGAGTAAATCACATACCAAAAGAGCTTTACCTGGACAGAGGCTGTATTTGGGTTCCTTGTTAACATCGACTTTATTGTAGGACCCATTTGTGGGCCTGCTGCGGGGGGCTGCACTCAGTGAGACGGTCCTGATAGCATCTCTCTGAACGTGGATATAGGATGCATTCTCAGCATTTCTGTTTTTATTATTGCGATGGTAACTCATTTTATTTTTGGGATTTGGGGCCTGTACTGCTGTAAAGGAAAGGGGGAAGGGAGTGAGGGATAAAACAAACTGGTATCATACCCATAAATAACATACTGCAGGTTAAATGTTTGATAGCACTATGGAAGGCAATGTGTGCAAAAAGAACTAAATTTATAGGAGTTGGGTTGACATCTAAAATAGCATGTTACACAACAGCAATTTGTTTTTCGAGTAGGAAATACTAATTTATATTTGATTTCTTAATTCCGTTGCAAATTATAATCTAGAAATATCAAATATGTAGATACTTTACCTCTCCGCATTCCTGGGCCAGGAAAATTCTTTGGTTCATCATAAATCCATTTTCTTTTTTTCACACCTTTAAAGTGAGGCTTCCTCACTGGCTGGACATCATTCACTTAAAGAAGATACAAATTTTTACAGTTTTTTAAGAGATGCTTTCATCTGAAAATTACTGTAGGTGATAATTACATATCTGTGCATTCACATGTCAAGCAAGAGAAAAAAATAAATGCACTACTCTAATACTTTACTTTCTAGAACAAAGGGTGACTTATTTCTTAAAGCACCCCCCACCCCACCCCCAAAAAAAACTATCCTGGAAATTGATTGATGAGAAAATTTTCAATATGTAGCATTCCTCAGGGAAAAAATGCTCTTCCCCAAAGGAATGTGTAAATTGTTTAAAAGACTATAAAATTACATTCCAAATATAACTATATATCTCATTATGTTATTTTTAAGTAGTTTTAGAATTGTTATTTTGAACATAAATCTACTTCTTAAGAAATTGGATTAATATAAAATACTTTTAGTGAATATTACTTTATTCTTTTAAGTTTTAAGAATTTGGGTGTGTGGTTAGTTTGGAGAAACAAGACTAAGTAGTCAGAATTTCTAAGTGCTAAGATCACTAAATTCACTTTTTACTGGCATATTTTTACATTGAAAAATTTATATACAAGATCAGTTTTCTAGGAGTTTCTAAGGGACATTTCTCCAGAGAATCTTAAAACAATTTAGTAGACAGGGGCATTCTTTGTTATTTCTCATGTGTGGAGATCCTGAACATTGACAGGTAACCACTGCACAGAGAAAACGAACAAATTCACTATGTAGATTACATTAGCTCTCTCTAGGGGACTAATAAATTTGTCTTTGCCCTAGCTCTCAAGTTCAGCTTAAGCGTGAAGTTTGAATTCTGATTCACCACCTCATCTCCAAACATCATGCTCTACCCTTACTCTCAAGCCCCCACTCCTAGGATTTGGAAACCATATTTTTAACAAATGTCACTAAACTAAGCTGCTTAGGAGTAAACCATCATGATTTCCTTCAATGCCTGGCTGGGATCCAGGAACATTATAGGGGCTCAGGAAATGAAATAAGGGAAAGAAGGAAGGAAGGAAACAGAAAGGAAGATTCATGAGTCTTAATTGTGTAAGAGAAGTAGCTCAGAATACTGAATGGCCTGGAAAAGCCAAATTATGCAAAATAATCCAAAACATAGTAAAAACCTGTCAATGTATCCCACTATAGGTTAAATTTAAAATGCTATACTTATGAATCTTCCGAGAAGGTAGTATATCATTAATTTTAATACCTAAATTAAACTAGTGGGAACGTATATAATTTACTAGGACCTACATCACAATTCTTTGTCAGAGTTAGTAGAATATTGTTTTTAATTCTTAATCCTGAATAATCTTCAAACCATCTTTTTTCTTTCTTTTTAAAAATTCTATTTCAAATAAGCAAAAAAATCCACGATAAGACAAATATATCTAAGGCCAAAAAGTGATAGAGCTAATGTCTCACTTGAAGAGGGGTCCTCTCTGCACTTCGTACTGATATTCTCGGTAGCATTTAATACATGCGTTGTAGGTACTAGTCGGGTAGTTAGGGAACGCTTTGGATGAGGACTGTCCTTGTCTTTTAAAGCAAATTAAGAAAATAAAATGTCAATATTAGTAAAAGCAGCTTTCAGTTGGTATTTCACTTTTCAAACATTATATGATGGGCATACCTCTTTAAAATATATATGTGTATTAATATTTATAATTCATCACCGAAATTCCCTAATCACTACAATGAGTCCCCAAAATTTGTCACTAACAAAGCATTAAAAATCCAATGTACAGACATTATCTTCAATATACAAATTATGTATTTGTGGCAATATTTTTAATACCATCATATAAAAGAATCAGAAGTTTATTAATTTTAAATCAAATGTGCTTATTTAAATTAAGGTTCCAGAAATAATTTAAATGTAACAACTTTCATGTGTTCTATGCTTTGGAGCAGGACTGCCCAAAAGAGCTTTATACAATGATGGAAATAGTCTCAGTTTGTACTGTACAAAATGATAGCCACTAGTCACATGTGGATATTGAGCACCTGAAACATGGCTAATGCAAGTGAAAAGCTGAATTTTTTAAGTTTTATTTCATTTTAGTTTAAATTTAAACAGCCAAATGCAAATTGTAGCAACTGTTATTAGTGTAGTTAGAATTTTTTTGTTTTTTGGGTTTTTTTTGATAGATTGGGCAAAATGTTTCCATCTCTGAGAGAGAGGAAAAGAGACTTACATGTCATTTCCCACTGATTGGTTCCCATTGAACCTATTCTTGAGAACATTTATTTGATGGCGGGGGGAACAGTAGATGAAATTAGTTAATATTTGGATAGAGAATACGTAAAGCCCTCTAATTACAGGACACCTATACCTTTAGTCTGTGACAGAGAGAGCCTGCCTATCAGAGAGGTACCAGGTGGGGGATTCTACGCATGGTGTAAGGGGAATATAAAACTATAAAGGATGGATTTTATTATCATTATCTCTTGATTATTCACAGACTAGTAATAACTATAAAATGGGGAGGTCATAGATGTCATGAGATTAATACTCTTCACAGTGTTCACAAACAAAACTTTCTAAGAAAATTCAATCACACTGAGTATTTGAAGTTGGAAAAAGAAACTAAAGAACTTGGTTTTACTATTTAACAAAACCAGTAACAATAGAGCTAGCAAGACTCCTAGAAATTACGTCGTCCAACAGGCCAATATTTCAGATAAGGAAACTGAAGCTAAAAGAGATGGTCTCATGGTCAAACAATGAGGGACAGACCAGGACTGAAACCTTAGAGTTTTTGACTCCTAGTCACTGTATTTAATGTATATTTTTATTTATTACCTCGCCTCTTCACTATTGGTCTCTACAAGTGTCAAGTTTTGTATTTAACATATCTATCCAAATTATGAATGGATTAAAATTATAGGATGGTTCATTACCTTTACTATTTGAACATTTTGACATGGTGATTTCCTTCTCTTCTGTTAAAGCTTCATTTTCATCTACTCCAAGAAATATGATCCTCTGTGGAACATAACAGTCACCTCCTATGACAATACCTTACTGTCAGTGGCCATGGTGGCAGAATGTTGTACAAAACTATCTTCTAACACAAGATTATCCTTTTCTGCAGTATACCTTTTCCCCGGTTTTATTTAAACACTTCTCAGTGATAATCACCCACATCTCTACACATATCACATATGTTTAGATTAATATATGTAAATATATGTACATGAATATATAGTATGTACACTTACATAGAGATAATTGCAAAAAAAATTCACATAGGCAACACAATTAATTTTCCTTTAACATATATAAATCTTTATTTCTACCCTTTACCATCCTTTAGAGTTACTCAGAGTAAATATAATTTATCTTCAATATAATATCTTCAGATATATGAGAGCAATTTTTATGCTCCTTAAAGCTCTTCTATTTTCCAAGATAAATATCCACAATTGCTTTAAATATTACTTATATACTTAAATCCCAGATTCTTCACCATACAAGTTACCCTTTCATAACATAAAATATTTGTTTCAAGTAACCTTCTTTTAAAATGGCACACACAGGGCGCCTGGGTGGCTCAGTTGGTTAAGCGACTGCCTTCGGCTCAGGTCACGATCCTCGAGTCCCGGGATCGAGTCCCGCATCGGGCTCCCTGCTCAGCGGGGAGTCTGCTTCTCCCTCTGACCCTCTTCCCTCTCGTGCTCTCTCTCTCTCTATCTCATTCTCTCTCTCAAATAAATAAATAAAATCTTAAAAAAAAAAATGGCACACACATGTGGACTACCATTACAGAAATCAGTGGAGCTAGTGTAATAATAGTTGATATTTGTAGAGCATTCTTCTAGATGGCAGACACTACTGAGTACTTTAAATGACTTACCACATTTAATTATCTTCCTATGCTACTCCTAATAATTCAAGGTGAGTTTACCTGAGCTATTTGGTACTTGACACCCATTACTGAATCATATTTAAACCTTGTGGCCAACAAAAAACACTAATTTTTTTCTTTGCAATCGGTATCATGTCAAGTCTTTCCCAACTTGAAGAAAATCTACCATTAATGTCTTGAACTTAAATGCAAGAATTTTTGTGTATCACAGTTTGAGTTTACCTTGTTAAATTTGGCTCCTTGATCCAGCATATTAACTTCCAGTCATCTGTAAATTCTATAAACATGTCTCCACTCATCCAGTCATTCAATTGTTATAAACATAAAATCATTGATTCTACAAATATTCACAGAGTGCCTGTCATGTGTCAGACATTCTCCTATAGGGATTCATCTACAGCAACTGATTATATACAATTCCAGGCCTCAAGTACCTTACCCAAAGCCAACAATAAAAATCTTGAAAAGATTTTGAAAAAATGAAATTAGTTATGAGAGAGGAAATTCAGACTCATTTATTATATGGTGATATATTCAGAATCAACCAATAATAACTTAACTCACCTCCATTTTCAAAAGCAGCAATGTCAGTCCTTGGTTTCCTATCCAATGATGCTTTTATCTCACCTTGCCTTTCAAATAGGCTAAATTTTGTTGGAACTGTAAGACCATCCCCTAAAAAATTAAGAAAAAATTAGAAAAGGAAAAAGAAAAAAAAAAATCACCCCAGGAACCATATGCACTTACATAAGTCTACAGTAGAATTCATGATGATAGTAAAAAGTCTAAAAGTGAATGCAAGTATTGTTTGCATAGTGATATGATAAACAATACATTTATAAATATATGAATTTTAAGCAAATTTTATGATTATCAAGAAAATAATAAGCAGGTTTGTTTTCCTATGTGGATTATTTATTAAATGGCAATTTAAAAATTTAAACAATCTAAGATTTATTTTCCTATGTGGATTATTTATTAAATGGCAATTTAAAAATTTTAACAATCTAACATTATTTTGTATGTATAATATATTTAATTTATTTGATGTGTTCTTCATATAATGAATTTGTAATATTTCTTTTGATTATTTCTACTTATCATGAACAAATTGAGTGAAAAGTATTAGAGTCTACCACTGACAAATGGTAATTATACTGTGATAAATAATTCTTAGCACTTTTCTTATACATCTCTAGAATAAACTATTAAAAGCAGAATAAGAGAGACATGATAATCTTATGCACCCATATGATTCTGGATTGGATTCTAAATCAGGAAAAAAGTTCATTTGGCTATAAAGGACATTGATGGTACAGCTGGTGAAATTTATTTTAAAAATTCTGTAAATGATATGGTATCAGTGGTAATTTCCTGATTTTGATATTTATACCAAAGTTATTTAAGAGTTATATAGGGGCATCATATCTGCAACTTACTCTTGCACAAATGGTTTAGAAAAAAATCACAATGTGTATATTTAGAGAAAGAAAGAGTGAAAAATCAAATGTGTAAAATACTAACATTTGGGGAAATCTGGTGAAGGCTATTCATGAATTACCTGAAATTATTTAAAAATAAAAGGCTTTTAAAACCATGATATAAAGTGAAAGTACATGTAATTATCTTTCTAATCTACCCTTTTTATATTCATTGCTAACTTATTTTGTTTTCTTTTTTCCTTGTCTAGGTAATGCAGGCAATGTGCCCTTCTCTAGATAGGGTGCCCACCTATCAGCTGTCTTGACAATCATTCTAACATCTAATGGTATGTTGCTGCCACCTACCGCCATATGTTTAAATAGTTTGCCACGTATGTACTTGAACAGCAAGTATTTTACTCTCGATCCTCTACTTTATCCTACCCTCATCTCGATGTTGGGAGATTTTCCCAACTATCATTTTTTATTTTTAGGGAGAGGAAAGGATTCAAATCTTCTACTGCAGCAAAACTTTTCATCTAATCCGAGTGGCAAGACAACTATATAAACTCATGGCATCCAGGGATTTTCTCTGAGTTTCTGGTTTTATATCCAGAAAATAATGTTCTTATCTTGCCTTCAAGGGCAAAATGTTTACCAACATTAAAATAAGATTCACCAAAACATAAGACTCATGAAAGCCCCAGCCTTGCAATAATCCACCTGCACTGCTTCTGAAATTGCCTGGTACACAAAAGGCACTCATTCAATGAACAAATGTATCCTTGTTCTGCCACTAACGTCATTCTGTGATCTCCCTTTTGTCCTTCTAGGGCTAGGTTGCTCTTTCTACTCACAGAGAAAAATATGCACCTATTTCACAGGGAGATTTCTTTGCAAAGAAAAATAAATGGTAAAAGCAAGTTATTTACAGAATTACTGCATTGGGGGAGTAGTGCTGCCACGCACTTATGAAGACCATTCATTCTCTAGCTCCGCTGGGAAAGCATAATTACATTAATAGCATCTTTCCATATTAAATATAGGTCATCTGATAAAAGCACTTCCTCCTCACTCTCAATTCTGATGTATTATTTATCATTTAACTCTAGTGTAAATCTTACTAAATAATTCACAGCCTATCACAGCAAGTATCTCTTATACATCACCTTGAAATGCTGCCTTTTCATTCCTTACCTTCTTGCAATTCACTGCCATTTTCCAAAGGCTTTTCTAACTCTTTGTCTGCTGTAGAGGCTATGCTTTTTGATGATGAAATATCTGGAGGAGTATGAAATCTGTAGTATTCACCTAATCTCCCATTAGAAAAGTAGCGGTTAGTATATTTGTCACATCAAGCATTAGAAAATCCACAAATGTTTGATTTCTTACCAGATTTATAACACATCTCCTTTATTGCTCTTTTTTCTTCAATTTCTTCAGGAGTCTTTGTCCATAAACTAGAAGCATCTATAGGATATATTTTTTTTAATTAAATTGTCAAAAGCCAAATAATATGAAAATATATAATAAATCAGAATGAAAAATTCCAGACATTGTTCTCATGGATTTTTTTTATTTTTAAAATCAATAATTTGCATAATGATAAGTGTCTCAAATTGCTATATTTCATGTATTAGAAAAATCAGTTTAAGCAACTGTACATACTTAAATGAGATCTATCGCCCAGCCATCATACAACAAAAACCCTCCAATCCAAATGATCATAAGCATGTATAGACATAGAACAAATTAGAACATAATGAATTGAATATATTAATAAAATTCAAGCTATTTTCTTACCAAAATCTGCCTAAACATAATATATTACCTTATAAACCTCTCACAGTTAAAAAATATGTAAAAAAAAAAATGGTACGGTTTTTGAATGTGCATTGTAAATCTGAGAAAAACCTTACTAACCATTTTGTTCATCTCCTTCCTCCTCTTCTTCCTCAAAGTTAGTTTTTAAAACTAAAGGATGGTGAATGGGTCGTGATATATTCTCCTGAGGTTTCAAGGGTTCCTGACTCTGGGTTGGGGGTGGAATTCCTTCCTGAGTTTCTTTCTGTGGTGTGATATCTACAGAGGAAATGCAATATTTCAGTCTTTTTAAGATATATATTATGTGCATGTTCAAAGATCAACAGTGTCGTCCTAATTTACTGCATATTTTATTAAAAGATGTCTCATCTTATTTCTGGAAAGGTTATTAAACTAGTAAAAAATATCAATATTTTGTCTGTAAGGTGCAGAAAATATGCTAATTCATAGATTTTATAGGAATTATGACCATGACTTGGTATATCACAATTTAGGTAAATGCGAAGTGACCATAAGTATTACTGTATTCTTACATTGATTGTATCTATGGAATAAGAATAACTTAATCAATTTACAATAAATTAACAAAGACAAATTCAAATAAGGCATAGCTTATAATGGCAGAGTATATATGCCAAGAGAGGAAAAAATCCAATATCTGTGGCTGCATGATTACTTGGAAGTGAGAAAGAATGATACTTTCAGATTTCTGTTTTGGCTGCACATTGGTCAGACTGTCCAAAGTTCTAGGTCACATTTAAATGTCCTGTAACTTTCAAAACTAACAAGCAGTTAATAGAAAAAGTTAGTGAACACATGAATCTTCTTTTATCACTAATTCAATCCCCTTTGTTTTCTAAGTGAGTAGTTATCAAATTTGACTAATTATCAGAATCAACTAAAGAAATTATTCAAAACAGGGGCACCTGGTAGCTCAGTAAGTTAAGCATCTGCCTCTGGCTCAGGTCTTGATCCCCAAGTCCTGGGATCAAGCCCTGTGTTGGGCTCCCTGCTGAGGAAGCCCCCCCACCCCTACCCCCCACCTCGTGCTCTCACTCTTTCTCAAATAAATAAATAAATAAAATCTTAAAAAAAAAAGAAATTCAAAACATCTTTTGGGTTTCTGGTTTCTGAACTTCTGATTTAGCAGATCTAGATTAAACCCTGAAAATCTGATTCCATTTTTTAAAAGTCTCAGGTAATTATGAAATCAGCCCTGTTTGGAAACTACTGCCCCAAATGAATTATCATCCAACTAGGGTCCTGGGTTATAGGAAATCTTTAGGTGTGCCATCCCAATAATTTGAAACCAATGAATCTTATTCCAGATCCTCAATTTCCACATTTATTTTTCCCCTAAAATTGGTTAGCCTAAGAACAGGCTTGAGTTCACAATAGTCTTCTCTCCACTTTATAAGATAAAGGCCTACCCTTCACTCATGCCAGAATTTACTATAGCACACTGGCCAAAAGAGAAATCCTCCTTTATTGATTAACCAAACTACCCCAAACCCATAGGGCTTTATCCATTACCTTAATTTATACACATTTCTACAAGGAGAAAATCATGATGTGGTAGGCAGAATAATGGCCTCCTAAGGATGTCCATGTCCTAATCCCCGGAACCTAAGTATGTATTAGGTTAAATGGGAAAGAAGATTTAAGGCTGCAGGTGGAATTAAGACATAATCACCTGACCTTAAAATTGGCAGTTTATTTGTTCTGAATTATCCAGGTGGGCCCAAGGTAATCAAAAAGGTCTTTACAAATGGAATGAGAGATGCAGAGGAAGAGAGCCAGGAAAGAGATGTGACAATGGAAGCTATGTCAAGTAATGCAATGTCAAGAGGACTTGACTTTGATTGCTGATTTTGAAGATGGAGGAAGGAGGATATGAACCATGGAATACAGAAAGCCTCTAGAAATTGGAAAAGGCAAGGGAACAGATTCTCTCCCAGAGTCTTCAGAAGAAATGCTGCCTTGGAGACAACTTAATTTTAATCCAGAGATGTCTGCATGGAATTTCTAAACTACAGAACTACAAGAATGACAAATGAGTTGTTGAAGCCACTTGGTTGCCGGTAATTTGTTACAACAGTAACAGAAATGAATACACAAGGTATTAGAAAAAGTGCTATTGGGGTCCATGTTGGAACATTCTAAATTCAAATGCATAGTAGGGTAAGGTAGTAGTTAAGAATTTTTGTTGAAAAATTTTGCTTCTTCCACTTCTGGACTATTGTTAAAGAATATATAACTCTCAAAGGGAAAGTCTCTTGACATCATGGAAGGAGAGCACTAGTAAAAACTCTAAAGGAAAAACATGGCTTTAAATAAAGCTTTTTAGCTATTCTCAATATGTTTTCCCAAGACTTGTCATTAGTTGCAAAGACAAGCTTCACTGAACATTCAAAAGAGTAAATTTTAGAGTCACATTTTTAGAGGTTCATTGAGATGTAATTCGTACACCATACAATTTACCCATATAAATATACAATTCAGTAGTTTTTAGTATTTTCACAGAGTTGTACAACCATTGCCATAATCAATTTTAGGATATTTGAACACTCCAAAGAAGAAACCCATTCCCATTAGCGGTTATTCCTCATGTCTTCCAAATACCCCTAGTCCTACACAATCACCAATATTCTTTGTTTCTATGGATTTGCCTATTCTAGATAGTTCATATAAGTGGAATCATACAATATGTGTGTGGTCTTTTGTACATGTCCTTCCACTTACCATAGGGTTTTCAAGCTTTAGCCATGCTGTCACCTGTAACAATTCTGCATTCCTTTTTTAGCCAAATAATATTCCATTGTACAGATATACAACAAATTTATCCACTCATCAGAGGATGGACATAGGTTTCTACTCTCTATTTCATTAATTTCTGCTTTAATCTTTATTATTTTCTTCCTTCTGTTTGTTTTAGGTTTACTTTGCTCTTTTTCCAGTGTCTTAAAATATAAAATTAGGTTATTAATTTGAGACCATATTTTTAAATATAGGCATTACAACTATAAAGTTTCTTCTGGGTATTATTTTACTTGCATCCCATGAGTTTTAGTATGCTGTTTCTTCATTTTCATTCATCTCAAAGCATTGGCTAATTTTCCTTGTAATTTCTTGGTTGTTAATCGGTGTGTTATTTAATTTCTACATATTTGTGAATTTCCCATTATTTTTTCTTTTATCGATTTCTAATTCCATTATGTTTGGAGAACATACATTGTATGATTTCTATAATTCCAAATTTATCAAAGCTTGTTTTATGGCCTAATATATAGTTTATCTTGGAGACTGTTCCATTTGCTCTTGAGAAATAAGTGTATTCTGCTATTGTTGCAACGAACATTCTATAGATGTCTGTTTGGTCGTGTTGTTTTATAGTTGTTCAAGTGTTCTATTCTTTGTTGTTTATAATCATTTGCATAGTATATCTTTTTTCATTCTTTTACTTTCAACTTGTTTGTGTATTTAAATCTAAAGTATGTCTCCTATAGATAATATATAGTTGAATCCTTATTTTTAATCTGGCAGTGTCTGCCTTTTTATTGTATTTTAATCTAATCATATTCAATGTTATTATTGATATATAGTTGGATTTTTATGTCATTTTACTTCCTGGTTTTTTTTGTTCCTCTATTCCTCTACTGCTTTCTTTTGCAGTAAGTAGGTATTTTTTAATTATTTTTATGATTTTTCCGTATTTTTAAAGGTATCTTCTTGGGAGTTGCTCTAGGGCTTTCCATATAGTTCCTAACTTTTCAAATATACTTCAGATTTATATTATTTAATTCCAGCTAGAGATAAAAAGGTTATTCCTATACAGTGCTATTCCTTCTTCCACCCTCGCCCAATTTGTGCTGTTGTTGTTATGTCTATATGTGTTACAAACCCAAAAATACATTGTTATATTACTTTGTTTAATTTTGTATTTTTTAAAGGAGCTGAGAGAAGGAAGAGATAATATTTATCTATAGGGTTTGTTATATTAACCTTCTTATTTATCATTTCTGATTCTATTTATTTATTCCTATGGATTGAGTCACTACCTGGTATCATTTCCTTACCATAATATAGGTTTGCTCCCACCTGCCTCCTTTATGCTCTTATTGCCAAATATATTACATTTCTAAATGCTATAGGCTCAAAAATACAATTATATACATATGCAAATATATATATTTTTTTCTTTCAGTACTTTGAATATGTCCTCCTACTGCCTTCTGGATTACAATGTGTCTGAGAAATCAGCTGTTAATCTTACTGAGGTTCCTTTATATGTGACAAATCATGTTTATCTTGTTATTTCCAAAATTTACTTTTGTTTTGGCATTTAACCCTTTAACTATGATATGTCTGGATGCAGATATCCTTGGGCTTATTCTACTTAGAATTTGTTGAGTTTCTTGAATATGTAGATTAATATTTCTCATCAAATTTAGGGAGTTTTCAACAATTATTTCTGTTTTCTCTCTTTTTCAGACTGTATAATCTCTACTGATCTATCTTTAAGTTTGCTGATTCTTTCTTCTCTCTAATATTTATTCCGTTCAATTCATAGTTTGTATCTATTTGTTGATATTCTCTATTTATTGAGACGTTGTCATTATACCTACCTTAATATCTTTAAGCATGGTTTTCTGTAGGTCTTTGAACATATTATTACTGCTTAAATTATGTTTGCTAACTCTAAAATCTGAGCTCTCTCAAGGCATTTTGTTGACTACATTTATTTGTTATGTATGGTTTACACTTTCTTGCTTCTTTTTGTGTCTCATAAATTCCTACCCGGTTTTGTTTTTTTTTTCCTGGACAGTTTGAACAATGTGTTGTAGCAACTCTGGATCAACTTTTTAATATTTTAATGACTTGGTTGAACTATTTTAACAAAATCTATTTTCTCCCACAGTGTACAGCACCTGATGTCACTGCTTGGAGGATGCAGCCTTGATAAACCCAGAGTCATCCATGGATGACAGTGGTTTTATCAGGACTCTCTTTGTCTCTTTCCCTGGTTTCTCTGTTAAGCTATCTACCTCTGTTGGTTTCACTCCTAGTTGTCAGGCTCCTTTACTTGCTGGTTGATTGCTCTTTCCGTTAGTGCACTGGGGCATTAAATTGCTTCACCATGCACTTCAATTAAGTTCTGATCCCTTTGCAGAGGTGGTTTCTGAGGCCAATCTTTCAAGTTTGTTCCGATCTTGGGAGAGCTCTTCTTAACTATTCCCCTGGTTGTCTTTGGTCAACTC